GCACGACATGTTTTTGAAATAGCGGTTCGTGATCCGTTCTTTGAGATGAACTGGCTCTTCAAGCACGAATCACCTGTCAGCTGGGATGCACTCTCTGCTGGGATGATCGCAGGATGATCGGGAATGGCTGATGATCCTCCTGAACTGATGTAAACTGTTCTTAAACTGTCAGTACTGTGTGATTGTTCTTAAACTTATAAAATAAGTGTTCGGATTCCTACACCGTTCGAGGTGTGTTTTCTTCCTGAATACTCCTTTAAATTACGTTTGCAGCATTTGAGTTTCGAATGTTGCTGTCAACTTGACATTTTTGAGGTTGAATTGTTAGCTTTTGCCAGGAGTGTGGCACTTTGCTGACACTGAGACAGACTCGTATTATATTTCTTTTGTGGAGCCGTAAAGAACAAATGGATTGTCATTTTGTGTCTGAAAATCGTACATTGTTATGTGAGACTTGCGTGTCAAAAATACTTGATCTCTCATAGCCTTTCTTTATCATGTGACTTGTTTAACATATTGTTTCAATTTCAGAAATTATACAAAATGACATCATTATTCGATCAACAGACTCAGGCGTCTCAAAGATATAAGGGACCAACTTCTACAAATGTAGCCCCAGAAGCTGTAAGTTATCTTGAGTTCAGTTTTTGTTTGTAAACTTTCTAAAATACATATTAACTTGCGAACATGTTCCAAGATTGAGTTATTGGGGCCAGTCCCTGTTGCCTGTACTGAACAGCTTTGTTTAAAAAATTAATGCTAATTTTCTGTGTCTGGCAGAATTTTTTAAAATTCAACACTCATTATTTTTCAATGAAAATGTTACTTATAGTTTTTGCCTGAATTTATTATATTTTAAAATGTTTCAATTTCTGGAGAAAGTGTTGATGCAGTACATGTGCAATCTAAATTGTATTGTTCTTTTTGATTTTTTCACCTGGAAAGTTTTACTGTGTTATTGGCTGTTTTAGTCATGTCATGATGCATTTCTGAAACAGATAACAACTGGTTTTATTCATATGAAGTTGGAGGAAGACACACCTATTTTCACCAAACAAAAGGTTAACTTTGCACCATCAGATCGTATTACACATCTTTGTGTCAGCAATGAGTTATTAGTACTTGCAATGGCAAATGATGTACTTCTGCGTATTGATTTGCGTCGACCTGAACAACCAGAAAGTGAGTGGCATAATCGTATATGAATTATTAAATAATCCACTTTTTATAAATAAACTAATCTTCCTCAAAAAAATTGAAATTTTTACACAAAATTTCAATTTTCACATGATTGTTTTTCTATCATTGTAATTAATAGTTGAATCTCAGTGTTTTGAGAATTATTGGTTAATATATGTTTCACATAATTGGTGGTGTTGTTTTTAGCAATTGACCTGAGTCGCTACACCAGCTCTTTGCGTGTCAATTCTCTTTTCGTTGATCCCCTTGGCCTGCATGTTCTGATCAGCCTCTCAGGAAAAAGTGGTGATGCAGAGTTACTCTACTTAGCCAGAAAGGCAGTAAAACCCAAATCAGTGAGTACTAGTTAGTTTTTAAATTGATTTATTTGAAATGACTATAGATCGTTCCCAGATGTGGCTTGACATTGATCAATTGTTCTGTACATGTGATATCCTCTCAGAATTTTGAGAATGAGGAAATAATGAAGTTCTTGTTTTTGTGAGAGAAAATATGATAAAATGATATCCGTGAATTGGAATTTAAAATCAGATAAATTCATTTCTTTTTAAGTTACATATTGGTTTTCATTGGATATCATATTAGATATTTTAAGAAAATTCTAATTATATTTGCAGAAATCTTTGGTTCTCATCTTTATCTCATATGTACACTACTAACAGAGCTAACATTTATATTATTTCTATAATTTGTAATCATTTTACATAAAAAAAGGGGAGGATAACTACACATGCACATATCATTTAAAGTTTTTTCATAATATTATTTTGTTTGGTGCATTTTAGGCCAGCAAATTGAAAGGACATGAGGTTACTGCTGTTGGTTGGAATTTTGGTAATGAGAGTGAAAGTAGCACAGGTCCAATCCTTCTAGGGACATCCCGAGGGTTAATATTTGAAACTGAACTTCTCTTAGAAGGAGAGCGTGTCTTCCCATCTGGTTTGGAACAATATTGGCGACAAGTGAGTTCAGAAATCTATATTAATTACTCTTATAAAATAGTGAGCATAAATATGAGGCTACTTTTTTTGTCAGTTTGATATACCCTGTTGTAATATTTATGTTTGAAAATAATACTAATTATGATAATTTATTAATGAAATTATTTATGAACAATAAGTAATATTGAAAACATATCCCAATGTTCCAGAAATGAGTTCACAATGGAATTATGGAATGAAATGTTAGGCATGCAGTTTATTACTCATCTTTGGGCTCGCTGCACTAACGTGCTATAAGACATTTATTGTTTCTTTCAGTTATTCTTAGGATCTGATAAATCATTTAAAAGACTGAAGTAATATGTTGCTCATTGAATATATTATTGTTTAAAATATTTTCAGGACACTTAAAAAATAACTTTTTATCCATATTGGTAACCTTCTCCATCAACTAAATGATAATTGAATATTGAAAAATGTTGTTCTGATACTCTGACACCCATATTAATTTCTTGATTGATACTAATCTTTTCTACAAGTTTAAATCAGTGTTTCTCATTGCGTATCTGTGATGATCATAATAGCCAGATACCAGATAGAAGGTTTCTTTCTCTCTCTCATTTTTTTCTTCTTCAATTTGTTGCGTCATTGTTGACGAAACATGCCTCTTTAACCGTTGTTGGGCATTGAACACTTTCCCTGTTATTAATGGAAGTAATTACTCTCTTAGTCAAGTCTCATCACTTTGCAGTCAGTTATGACCTTTTATCTCTTGAGACAAAGGCTCGGTGTCATTAGATCCTGGAGTTCCTAGATGGTCATTAAATCAGGAACCTGTGTGTCTCGAGTTTGCTTAACCTCTTTGATTTCTTGGAGCATAGTAAACGAATTTGGCTAACTATGCTGGCTGTGTTTGTGTGTGAATCTGATGGTTGTCGAAGGTGTGCAAGGGTAGCTGTGTGAATCATGAATCCTGAAAGGGAGAAATTTCTTTCTTCTCCTGAACTTCTAAATTGGCTTCAAAATTTATTTAGCCAACTTTTAAGTGAATGCTGCTTTTCCATGGCAGTTGGAATGATCCACCGTATTCTTTGCCTTTAGTGCATGGGTGAGCGGTTGGGGACTTTTGTCTTACCAAGTCCTTTGAGATGAATTTAGATCATTAAATAGTAATATTTTAGTTTTGTAATCAGTTCAAATGAATGTTAAGGTGAAATTGGGGGCATTTCCCATTCAAAAATATGTTTACATTAATGGTGTTAATGTTTACATAATTACAATATGTTTACTAACAATTAATGTTATTTAAAATTTTGCTTTTATGTTATTTTTTAAGTCAAAGATAGTTAATTTTTTTAACTCTTTATTTATAGTTTGTAAAGAAACCATTCAATTTTTATCTTAAAATTAGAATAATATTTTTCAAAATAATAGGTCTGACAATATCACCCTACTTCTATAGTTCATTCATATATAGTTTAAATGTACATGTTAAAAAAAATCTTCTCACCATACAGAACACAAAAAAAATCTTTGTCACTAGTTTATTGTTTTATAGTGGATCACTGGAAAGTTGTTTAATTAAGTAGGTCACACAAGCTGTTGAGGGAAGAGTGACCCCCGTGATTGGAGAATTTTCTCAAAAGAAATTAAAGGAAGTGTGCAATGTGTAAATTACTTCCTTTTTTTAAATTGTAGGGTCAACATAGAAAGTTTAGAAACATAATTTTATTTCAAAAAATATTTTGAAATTTGCAGAATATCTTAATTGAGGGATGCACACAAATTTTAATAATGATGTGAAACTTTGAGAACCACTGATTTAAGTAAAGTGTGGTGAATGCATTTATGAATAAGTGCAACTGCCCTTGCTAAGTGTTAGATGTGTCTAGTCTTACCCTTTGCTTTCCCATCTGCCAGTTGCCCAGCTATCTGCCCTTGTATGGTGTCCGTGAGGTGGATGGCTTGGTAGGTACTGAGATTGCCTCCCTAGGTACTGCATGTTTTCTCACTTGAAGCTAATACTTTTCTTTTCTGGTTGTTTGTCATTATTTAAATAAGTTTTATTTCATATCTTGTTTCTTACACATCCAAGTTGTAATAGTTTTCATTTCTACTTTCTAATGAGTAGGGTTGGGAAGTTTTTACAAGCTTTTAGTCACAAAATATGCATGCAAATATGCCAAAAAAATGTCAAAATATCCATAGAAATGTTAAAATGTGTGGCATTTGATTATAAACATATTTTTTCATCAATAACACCTTTTTGATGGAAGGCAGGTTCACTGGGAAAATATTTTCTCAGCTGAGAGGCTTTTTATTTTCTCACTTACCCATTCTATATTTACTTCATTCTTTAATAAACATACTTAAATTATTTTGCTAGTCCTGGCTGGATCCTCTTTGAAAGGTTTTGGTTAAGCCTACTAGAATCGAGAAACTGTACATTTCATCTTATTTAATAATTTTTATTTAAAAATAAATGTGTTCTTGCAGGCAAAAAATTGAAAAATAGTCAAGTAAACACATATCTGTGCACCTCTAAAACAGGCAAAAATGCATTATATGCAAAATGTGTTGCATTTCAGATTCAAATTGTTTGCCTGAAAACCATGAAACAGAGTTTTTAAGTTTCTGGTTTGCTGTGACAAAAAATATGCAATTCCATGAACCAGCTTTACTTGCTTTACTTACAATATATGTGGACATTTATTGCCTGTTTTTATGGCAATGATTTATAAAAGTGGTGAAGAAGCCTTACCCATTCTTAATTAAAGATATTTTTCATCTCTTTTGTTTAATTTGACAATTTATATAGTACATTTTATTATATTTTATTGAATTACAACATTCTTTTTCTCATTTGTAACTTTTTGTTTTATTTTCTGTGTAGAAATTGCTATGTTATCAATGTCTTTTAAGAAAAGTAAACAAGAATTGGAATTGACATTATACGCATGAAATTAGTTTTGTTGTTTGTAATGTGTCATAAGTCAAAATATGGATTTAAAATGTGTATTAAATAAGGTTATTTTTGTGTTCATTTTCTTTTAAGTAGTGAATCAGTAGCCTTACTCCTCCCTTGAAAAGTTCATTAGACATTTCAAATGATACTAGGATTACTCTGTTGAATCATAGGTTTTTGATATTGGCAAAGGAGAACACATGCCCATCACAGGATTGGAATTTCATCGGGTTCCAGGGTCGGATACTTACTTTGTGCTTGTGACAACAGCCCAGAGGCTGTATCAATTTTGTGGCAGTGTGGGAAGTGTAGATGAAAAACCTTTACTTCAGCAAATTTTTAATAATTATCTAGCTATGCCAGGTAGGCTGAACAAAATCAAGTATTCATGTGTATATGTTTGTATTCTGACTCCTTTCTGTATCTATATGTGTGTACCAAAGTATAGCATTTTTCCATGAATATAAAATATACATGGATAGCTTCTTTTTTATTGTATTCCTCATTGTTCTTTACATTCTTCACAGAGGCCTATCAAGACATTCCCAGCAACTTGAAATATTCACATCTGGAATTTAGTTATCAAGGTCACCGTGGCCCACCGAAAACTTTTGCGTGGCTCACTGAACCAGGAATCTTCTATTGCAAGGTTCTTATTTTATTATTTATTTGACAAGAAATGTTGCTTTTGTACTATTTATTTTCTTTAAGTTACAATGTTCGAATTTTAATGACTTATATTTAGAAATACAATATTTGAGATATGTCATGATGAAATTTCTTTAAGAAAATATTGGAAGGATTGAGTTAATACCATTAAAACAATTAATGTCTTATTTTTGACAGGTTATTCCTAGCCGTGCCCTTCATGGTGACACAGTTCTGGCAGATAGTCAATTGGTGCGTTACCCCGTACCCGCCAGCGGAGCTCCAATGTCATTTGTACTCAGCCATTTCCATGCTTTACTGCTTTATCCTGATCATGTTGTTGGTGTGTCATTGTTAAATCAAGAACCAGTCTTTGAAGACATTTATAGTGAGGTATGTTCTTTTCCTGGTGTAAGAGAAATAAGTATTGTAAATTAACCAAATTTTAAATATTGTAACCTGTTAATTGAATATTATTCGTGCAACACTGCAGACTTATGGAAAATTAGTAAACATTGCCAAGGATCCTATTAAGGGAACAATTTGGGCCTTCACTGAAAAGGCAGTCTTCCGTTACAAAGTAACTCAGGAGGAACGCAATGTTTGGAAGGTAAATTATATTTTTATCTTGAGTTTATTGTTTTTTTTTGTGGAAATTATTTTCTGCATCAAGCATTTAATTACAAATTGTAGTTGTCAAAAACCAAAAAGTCCTTTAGTTATACAAGAACATTTATTATCCTAATTTAGAACCAAATAATTGTAACCAATTGCATCTAGAAGGTGTATGTAAGATATTAGTGTCTTGTTTGTTCAGCATGCATCCTTTCTATCTCAAAATGATAACTGTCTGAGATTGAATCTTGTTACTTTATTTTGGTACTTCGTATTTTTCAGATATATATGGAACAAGGAGAGTTTGAGTTGGCCAAACAATATTGTCGAGACAATCCTGCACATCGTGATCAAGTCCTTGTACGACAGGCTGGTGTCTTTTTCAAAGAAAAGCAGTAAGAACTTTTTTATTTCTTATTATTTTTTAGACTGTTGTACAAATGGTTGTGTGTCATAATTCACAATTAAATTGAGAATCAAAAAATAAGATATGTAATTAAATATGAGATATTAAGATATATCTGAACCAAAGCACAAGAACAAATTATGGCTCGTTTAATTGTGAAAAAAATTTGCAGAGAAACTTAAGGGCTAAGATGTGTAACAACCAATTAACAACTAGTGGTGCTACAGAATGGCACAGTTTTCCATTTCCTTTGGTCTAGGCTGCTTTTCTGTCTTTCTATGCACTCTTTCCAGCTGCCATATATCGACACGCAAAGTATATTTTTTGAAATTTTCTCAATTTTTTGTTTTTCTTATAGTAGAATCGAAGTATTATTTTAAGAATATTAAAAAGCAGTAAATATCCAAATGGCAATTTTCATTGAAAAATTTAGAGCCTTTAAGGAAATTGCATGTTACTGGAGATACGAAATTTGATGCTAATTTTCACAGAAAACTTTTGAGTTTTTGAAAAACTTTGTTTGAAGACATTTGAAGAACTTAAACTCATAAATGCAATAGTGTTAACAAATCTCTGGTAATGTATTTAATGGCGTGACATATTAACAGCGTGAAAGATATTTAAAAAAAATCATTTGATGTCTTCTTAAACACTGAAGAAAAAATTTTGGAGCCTTTCTTGAGGAAATGGCATTTGAACATTTCTGAAAATGCGTAATTTTGACCATATTTTCTCAGAAAACTTGTCAGTTTTCAAAACATTTTATGGCATCAATTAAAGCACATGTACTTGTAACTGCAATAATGTGAAGAAGTTGCTGCTAATGTAAAAATTAAGGACATGAGAAGCTATTAAAACATTTAAAAGAATTTTTGAAAAAACAAAAAGATATAGCAATATTGCTTTTACGTCACCCCATACAGTACATTGAGCATTACCCCTACCCAAAGTTTAATGAAAAAATTTTGAGCCGGTTTTGAGAAAATGGATTTGAGTGTTGCAAATGCAGAAATGTAAGCTCATTTTCACAGAAAACTTGAGTTTTCAAGAAATTTATAAGAAATCATTTAAAGCACATTAACCATAAATACAATAATGTGAAGAGATTGCTAGTAATGTAAATATAAAGGACATGAGATGAGAGATGTCAAAAAATTACATGTTTGTAATTTTTGAAAAACAAAAGAATAGAGCAATATAGCATTTATGCCACCTTATAGCCTGTATGCAGCACTATCCCTATCAAAAGTTTAAAGAAACAACTTGGAGCTATTTACATGTAAATCTTGTTGTTTTTGTTATTTTTTAATATTGTATATATTACCCCCAATATTGCTTGAAAACTCCTAACATTTTCAACATAATGTACATGACTTTAAAACAAGAACTAATTATAGAGAACAAATTTAATTTGAAGGAAAAATCTCTGGCTTTAATGCTTTAATATTGTAGTTTAGGAAGGTGTTGAAAAATAATCAAACTTTTGCTACTATCGAAACTTCAGAGTTAACAGAGTCAGAAAATATGAATTATGCCTTCTTATCAGTGTATTTTGCTGTATTCTTACAAGAAAAAGAAAGAAGGAAGGGGGGGGGGGGAATGGAGCTGTTTTTGAGAAAATTTTGAAAATATCCCTGAAGCTTCATATATAGTACACCCAAAAATTAATCAATGTTTTTCAAAATTGCAGAGCTTTGACTCAGGCTAGATTGACAAAGGTTTATTAAGTTTTGAAAGAAATTATACACGTAGTTTAGGCTCTAGTGTTGTTCACATCCATCGGACGGATCAATCATTTTTTTGGTATTAAGGAAAAGAAAGCGTGGGTTCATCATTGTCAAGTTATTTTGTGTTGCTTGAACATTGAAAATACATAATTGTTTATTGTAGGTATGAGCAGAGTGCACTCCATTATGCTGAAACCCAATGCTCGTTTGAAGAAGTAGCTCTTAAGTTCATGCAAGTACGGGAGGTGGAAGCGCTGAAAACATTCCTTAAGAAGGTAAACATTCATTACATCAGTACATCATTATAGTTGCATGCTTTGTCAAGTATTTGAAGTGTGATAAGACTTTCCAATTATTTCTACTCAATGTAAATACTAAATCTTTTCTAGTCTTTGTTTATTTGTGTTCTAAATTCTTGAGGTTTATTGTATAGTTCATTATGGGTTCAAGTAGAAAGTTTGTAGAGTGTGTAAAGATTTATTATTTGTCTAATAGGGCATGTTATAGAGCGTTAAATATATTTGTATTATCTATGTGCTTACATGTGTCAGAAACTGGAGGGACTGCGGCCGCAAGACAAGACACAAGTGACAATGCTGGTCATGTGGGTCCTGGAGCTGTGTCTAAATCAGCTGGGAGAGTTACGTGATGCTGGTGAAGTGCGATCACCTCGGTATCAGGAGTTGCAGCGACATCTCTCTAGTTTTCTGGAGTGGCCTTCTGTGCTGGTAGGTTTCTAAATAAATGAGTTTCTTGAGTTTCTTTTTAAAAAGATATGTCGCAATATGGTGTTTATCAGAAGCACATCCAATGGTGGATGTGAACTCTTGGGACTTTAGCCCCCCCCTCTCTGTCTATCTGTCTCTCTTTAACACACTTGCACACGCATGCACAAGCACGCAGCACGTGCACGGCCTCGCACAACACACACATAATCACACACACACATACAGAAGCCCATTACATTTTCACTACTTTTCTATTATGACATTCAATATCTCAATTGAATTTAGATATTAGATTTAGATTTATTCAGACAAAAAAAACAGTAAAAACTGTATGTGACGTAGGGGGGAAAATATTATCTGCGCACATTTTCTTGAGTTCCAGAATCCCTTCCCATCATTTTAACTATAAACAGTTGAAAGATGAGTAAAAGTTTAACAGAAATAAATTAAAATAAATTTTAAAAATCGCAATATTAGCACATTGCTAACAAAATAGCAACTCGCCCTTACCTCTACTCTTACCATTACAAGCAAAAGGAGAGTTCATCAAAACGTGCGCATAGCGTAAGCTACATTTATGTCCAGAAGCAAAACAAGGGGCCGTCTCAGCATTTGCACAATGGATCAGGGAAACTGTACCCTAAAACCTGATCGAGATGGGGGTCATTGACCCGGAAGCTAAAGTACATTATTTGTTACAAACATTAAGTCTTTAAAAAAAATATACATTACAAATGTAAACTAATACATTATATATCACTGTTTTGTTAAAAATAAACATTATTGTTCTTTTTGATAATCAGTATAGTCTCTAATTGTATAGAAACAGTTATGCAGCAGAAAAGATTTTACTTTTAACTTAAAATTTGTAAAACAACTTTAATTGTTTAATGTCATCTGGCAGTGCATTGTAAAGTACCGTACATGTATTGTATGTGGATTTCTGATTGTGAGCTTTTGTAGACACTTTTGACAAATATTACAGATTCTAAAATAGGCAAGGCAGTGGTAAGATTCCAAGCTCAATGAAGAGAGGGTTGCAAGGGTAACGTGGATGGAATTTTTTCATTATTCGAATAATTTTCTTTTGCAATCCAAAGGTCTGAGTACTACATGATGAGTTTCCCCAGAATTTTATACCATATCTCAGACGGGAATGTACATTTACAAAATACACGCAACAAGCTGTATGAAGGCTGACAGAATTTGATAGAATTCTGAATGCGTATCATAATGAACTTAATTTAGTGTTAAATTTTGTTGTATGTACATTCCATTTGAGGTTTGACTGAATTAACAGACCTAGAAAT